TTGAGTGTTGTGGATTGCGAAAAGGATTGCAAGAAGGAAGACAATAATTCTATCGCTCTCTCATGATGCCGTCTAAGAGGTCGAATATCGATGTGGTAGCGTCAATTGTGCCCTTGGAGGGCGTCTGTCGCGTCATGTCATGATGGGAAGGAGCTTTCGTCCGGCAGCCGGAGCCGCGGCGCGACTCATCTCGAGAGTCGACTTGGTGACGTCAACTGATTGGTCGGATAAAAATCGGAGAAACATGTGCACGCGACGGGATGGTGAAGTGAAGAGAGGAAGGAAGGAAGATGAAAATGAATCGGGTTGGGCATCGCGGAGGTACGTACCGCAGCGGGGCGATGGCGAAATCTTATCGGGCGGAAGGCGGAAGGCGGAAAGTGGAAGGCGAAAGGCAGAACGCGACGGGGCAGGGTGGATCCACGATGCTCTTGCTGACCATGGGCCTCGAAATTTTGGCTGTCGACATTTCTTGGTGATATCACTGTCTCCTTTCGCCCCGTGACCCTACGATACGATCATTCAACGTGCATCTTTCTACGACAACGCTATACGCCCCAGAAATCCAGGGATAGTATTCTCATCAAGACTCATCAACAAACTCAACTCAAAAATGGGCTGGTTCTGGGCTGATGCGCAGGCTCCCGCCGTCGCTGCCATACCTCACAACCACCCTTCAGATCTCAGCGCCAGGACACCACCAGTATGTCTTTCCATCACGTCCCCCTTCGTCGCATCGACTGTGTTGACGTGTACAGCCCCAGCCTGGATGCCCCATGCACCAAAAGACCGTCGACGCGCTGAACCCTACGCCCCCGAAACCCAAGCCTGCCGCCGCAGCACCCGCCTCCTGTCCCATCGATCACACCCAGCATGCTGCTGCTGCTGCTGCTGCCGCTGAGACGCAGCCCAAGTCTTTCCTCTCCCAGATCAACCCCCTGAACTACATGTTCAAGGAGATCTCCCAGGCCCCCGCCAGCAACCAGGCCATCAGCCTGCCGACCTCTCGCGAACCCTCGACCATCCCCCGCGGCTCGGGCGACGGCAACTGGGAGTATCCCTCGCCGCAGCAGATGTACAACGCTCTCCTGCGCAAGGGCTACACCGACACGGACATCACGGCTGTCGAGTCCATGGTCGCCTGCCACAACTTCCTCAACGAGGGCGCCTGGGCCGAGATTGTCGCCTGGGAAGATCGCTTCGCACAGGGCCTCTACAAGGGCTTCAAGATGTGCAGCCGCGGCGAGGAGAACGCCCCCGACATGATCGAGGCCGAGCGCACCGGCAAGGAGATCCCGCCCACCCTGACGCGCTTCCAGGGCAGGCCCAAGGAGATGACACCCAAGGCCACCATGATGCAGGTGCTCGGCTGGATCTACCCATCCAAGTTTGCGTGAGTCTTGCCGCGTGCTCATGAGTTCGAGAAAACAAGGCATACTGACAATCAACGACAGCACCGAGCCCCCCTTTGATCGACACGACTGGTACGTCACGCGCAAGATAGGCAACGAGACGGAGGAGATCCGCTACATCATCGACTACTACTCCGGCGAGCCTGAGCCCTCTGGTGATCCCGTCTTCTACCTCGACGTCCGTCCCGCCGTGACCCCGCTAGCCGCCGCCGAGCGCATGATTCGCTGGGGCACCGATGTCTGGTGGCGCGCCACTGGAGCCGAGGTGCGCGAAGCCGCCCGTTTGGAAAAGGAACGCCAGCAGTGATGAGTCGGCGTTTCGGGCGTCTTCGAACCTTTGCTCTCCACTCTGGCGTTTGTTGCATTTCTTGAGGAGGACCAATTGGGTCCAGGAGTTCCCGGCGCAACGATGCAACGATGAGGTGCTTACAGTGGTCACACGCATCATGTCACTCTTCTCTTTTTACCTCCCTCATGGTGCTTGTCTTATTACCGATTTCTTTCTGTACTTTTTTTCCATTGTACCAACAGGCTCACGTGGCCGTCATGTATCTAATGTACTCATGTACCCAACGCCAGAAACGACCCATTTTTCCAACATTCTACAGCCGCGCCCTCCCATTACCCGTGTAGCAGCAACAGCAACAGCAGCAGCAGCAGCAACGCCTCATGCCGTCTGCGCCGCGAGCTGCGTCACCTGGTCCTTGAGCGCCTGGTCCTCGCCGGCGCCGTTCGTGAGCACCTTGTCGCGCAGGTGGTCGACCTGCAGGCCCGCCTCGGCCGGCGTGTCGCCCTGCGCGACGCGGATGCGCGACACCTGCATCTCGAGGAAGAACTTGGGAATCTTGATCTGGCCGACGTCGCCGCCGTTGGACCGGATGCCGGCCTCGGTGGCGAGGTAGACGACGAGCTGGTTCGTAAACGTGTTGAGGTCGTTGTCGGCGAGGGGCTCGCTCGTCGCGAACGTGTCGAGGGCGAACTGCAGCGGCGACACGCCGCCCGCGGCGTCGGCAAAGTTGACCGACGAGAACTTGACGTTGCCCGCCTGCACGTCGGGGATGCCCTGGAGCGTCGTGGTGCCGGCGTCGCACGTCACGAGGTCCTGGAACCCGGCGACGTCCTCCTCGACGATGGCCGGCAGGGCCGTCGTGCCCGTGAGGAAGCAGGCGTTGGCCTGGCGGCCGAAGAGGCGCCAGGAGGGGGCTGACTTGGACGTTAGCGATGCGGTGCGTGCTTCGGGGGATGCGCC